GTTTATGAAGCTTAAATGAGTATACCTCGCTTTTTTATGTGCACAATAAAGCTTGGAGATCCTCCCCGCTTCAGAAAGATGCTCGGCGCTCGCGAAGCCCAGTCGTCAGAGTGACTCTGCATTCACTGATAGCTCATGGAAAACATTGCTCCATCTCATTAACTTATTGCCATCATTTTTATTCTTTATGGTCGCGCGGGCTACCGTCCCTCATTCTCTTTTCACATTCGTTTTGTACGTGTGCGTGATTAATGAGAGATGTCGAAGCGCAGAGTGAGCGAGCATCAGCGAAGGTGAGATCATAATTAGTTTAGCTGATGCAGGGCCCTCCGATGGCGCATCTGGACGGAAAAATCACCCTATAGGAAGCTGGCGGCGCCCCAGAACTTTTTACTGATACGTTGTGAAACACCCGATGAATCAAGTGCCCTTTTCCCTGCCAAAAAAGCTCTACCGACATCCAAGCCAAAATTATGTCCGCAGAAGGCTTTCCATTCTAAATGTATTAGAGCACAATTAGGAGCATTGTACTTTTCTGGCAGGAGAAATGTGCTCCCTGTGCAGGCCGTCTGAAGGTAGGCTAAATAAATCCTACACATTCTATAAGGCTAAATGAGTTTTACAGGGGCCGTAATGGAGATAATTCCTGCGATTTGCCCTGCTTGACTCTCGGGAATCACTTGTCGTTCTGTCCGTTCCCGGCGGATGATTCATGTGGCCATATCTCTCTCCTTCTTCCTTTTTTTTTCCCGACTCCAGTTTATTTTTTCTCCCACAGTAGAGCGCAATATTTCAAGCTCTGTAGCTCCAGCTATGTGTTTAAAGGTTCACGTCATGCATGTGTTGGAGAAGAGACGCTTATTGAAAGATCAAAATATTGATGTCAGGCCTGTGCGGGCAGCACAGTTTGAAGCTGGCGGTGTTGTCGCTGGCACAGTGGTATCTAACAAAGCCTATAAATCAAGGGAAGGTTAATTAGTGGTAGAATCTGCTTGCTTCTTTTCATCGCAGCTCATCCTGGCTTTCTATTCTATAGTAAGTTGCGATCACAATATTTATGAAAAAGCAAAACATTATTTTTTTGAAAAAATAAAACTGGTCAAAATTTTTTCATTATTTATTCCACTAAATATTGATTTCTTAGCTTTTCAGATGTTCAGATTTACCTGATTTTGTGTGTCACGCAAAACAAAACTAGTTTAAGGATTTATGTAGGGTTGGGTCGATAGACAATGCCATTGTTCATTGCTGATGGCCAATAGAGATCACAATGATGAGCCGGCATCGTGATCCTCCGACCCGCACCCGTCGCAGCAGCGACCTGCTAATGAAAAATACACACTCAGGCTCCGTTTACACTAATACGTCTTAGTTTTAAAATGGCATTTAAGACCAAAAACGATCTCGGTCCACACTGTGTTTTACCTAGCATTTCTGAAAAGATCTCCCTCTATACCGCTGAAAACACACATCACGTGACCACACCAACACGTCTGAGCTCCAGTCAGATAGCGGGTGCTTTGAGCACAAAACTCCAGAGAGCAGTGCACGTCAGACAGTTTATCAAGGATGTACTGCTGGATGGCGTCTCACTATAGTTGTTAAACGTGATATTAAATTAATCTTCTCTCTATCTAATGACTTTGGTCTTTTAAATCAGGTACTGTGTCACCGTGTTAGTACACTGTTTCAGTCTTTCACTTTCACGCTTGTACTTACTAATTTTAGTGAAAACCTCAGATACTGTTGGTTGGTTCCTTTAGGCTGTGCACTTTTTTTACCAACCAAGTTTGTCGTAGCCGTTATAATAAAACAGATCTCTCTCATTCATGCCAGAGTCCTGAAAAAAGTGATTGACAATTTGTCATTTTTAGCTACTTATCTTTATTTATGAATTGGGTAAAACAAAGACTATGCAGGTCAGGTTGGAACTGTAGGCTACAAATAATCTGTTTTGAATCAATTTATTCTTCATAAATTCTTAATGCACCGCTGCCTACGACGAAGATGCCATCTTCCATCGCGATGTTTCCCATTAGACATCGTACGATGCCAAATTGGTCGACATTGCCCAACCCTAGTTGCATGGGGATATTCTCGTCAACAGCCAAAAAACAAATTGTGTCGGTCAAAATTATACATTTTTCATAATCATGTCTTTTTTTATATTCATTTTTTCAATAAATGTCTTACTGTAATCAAATCAAAACTCTTCTTTTTAGTAATGTGCATTGTTAAGCAGTTCATAAACAAGTTTAAAGGAGATTTATTTATTTTTTTCACTTTCACTCTTTAAAAGTTCACGTCATGCATGTGTTGGAGAAGAAACGTTTATTGAAATATTGATGTCAGGCCTGTGCGGGCAGCACAGTTTGAAGCTGGCGGTGTTGTCGCTGGCACAGTGGTATCTAACAAAGCCTATAAATCAAAGGAAGGTTAATTAGTGTTAGAATCTGCTTACTTCTAGTCATCGTGCCTCATCCTCATGACAATACTTTCTAAAAAACAACATTATTTTCAGCGTTATAATCAGGCAAAATGTTTTCATTAGTTATTCCACCAATTTTATTAATTTCTTATCTTTTCAGATCATCAGATTTAGCTGATTTTGCGTGTCACGCACAACAAAACCAGTTTAAGTTGCATGGCTATATTTTCCTAACAGCCATAAAATACATTCATTTATTCATTCATCCATTTTCTGTTCAGCTTAGTCCCTTTATTAATCGGAACCACCAGCTTATCCAGCATGTTTTACGCAGTAGATGCCCTTCCAGCTGCAACCAATCACTGGGAAACATCCACACACACTCATTCACACTCATACACTACAAACAACTTAGCCTACCCAGTTCACCCATAGCGCATGTCTTTGGACTTGTGGGGGAAACCAGAGCACCAGGAGGAAACCCACGAGAATACAGGGAGAACATGCAAACAATTGACCCCAACCCAGCACTACCTACTGTCCCACAGCACTGCCATAAAATACATTGGGTTTTTATAATTATATATTTTTCACACTCTGTTCCACTGTTCAACTACTGTAATCATACTGAGCTCTTCTTTTTAGTTGTGTGCATTGTTTAGCATGTCATTAGACAACTTTAAATGTGATTAATTTAATTTTCTGTTCTTGCACTTAAAGTGCACCTATGATGAAAATCATCTTTTGTAAGCTGTTTGGACAGAACTGTGTGTAGGTATAGTGAGTCCACAGTCATTCTGGAGTGATACAAACACAATTAAAATATGTTAAAAGACGTTAAAATAGGATCCAATCCAATAGGATTCCTTCCATTTTGAGGCCCACCACAACATGGCATAGGAGTGCACATGCAATTACAGAAATGAACTACGAATAGCACAGGTGTTGGGCAAGCTACTTGACAAATGTAGTGAGCTAAGCTATTAGCTACTCTACTTAAAATGCATCTTAACTACACTAAAGCTACCCCCTGGGAAATGTAGCAAGCTAAGCTAAAAGCTACATGGCAAAAGTAGCTTAGCGACATCTAAGCTATTTTTACAATTTTCATTTTTAAATCGAAGCAACTTACATCCAAATCAATCATATCTTAGTGATCAATAAAACTGTCAATGAAACATATAAGGCAGAATAGTTCAGTTCAGTTATTTACTGTAAATAATATGCTGTAGAAACACATTATAGTATAACAGCTAAAACAAAAAATCCAATAAAACCAGGTGTTACACATTTAAAATACTATAGTCATTTATAGGTAAGGGAGAATATATATATATATATATATATATATGTATGTATGTATGTATGTGTGTGTGTGTGTGTGTGTGTGTGTGTGTGTGTGTGTGTGTATGTGTGTATATATATATATATATATATATATATATATATATATATATATATATATATATATATATATATATATATATATATATATATGTATATATAGTAATAAGCATTATAGTGTTATATATACTAAAGTATTTTTTTTTTTTTTTTAGCACAGCATCAAAAATTAAGTTATTGCATCTTAACGTACTTCCTCTCCTTCTGTCATCTTTCCATCAAGCAAGTATCACCACAGGTGGCAGTAACGCACCAAAAAGTTTGTTGTCGAACACCGTAAAACAGGAAGAAGAAGAAATCATCCTTCTCCCTATCTTATGCATTTACTTTCTTCGGCTAGACACCGGCCTCACAGCTCAGTGAATGTTGGTGCCGCCACTTATTGATCCGCGATTGGTAACTTTGTGGACGCTACTGCGCTACTTGACTAATAAAATAGCTTCGCTACTGAAAAGCGGTTTGATTTAGAAAGTAGCGACGCTGCCGCCTAGCTACTGAGAACTGTAGTTAAGCTAGTAGCGTCACTACTTGTAGCGACGCTACTGCCCAACACTGAATAGCACAGACCAGAACAAAAATGTGTCGGGGGACCCCAAAAAGTTTATAGAACTTTTGTATATTATTAGATTTGATGGAGATGCAAAAAGTAAACATTATTTCATCAATCTCTGACTAAAAACGTGCATGTTAATACTCACAACACGTGCAAATACAGAAAGGACCTGCAAATAGCACAGACGACAATAAAAATGTTTCAGGGGACCCCAAAGACTCTAGATTGTTTATTAGGTTTTATGGAGATGCAGAATCATGCCAATTCATCTAACATTATGAATCATTTCCAAATAGAGATATTGAGTCATCTGGTGAAGTTGTATTTATATCGCAATATATATTGCAAAATAAAATAAAAAATAACGCATTATTAAATTTTTTTTCTAAAATCGTGCAGCCAACCAATCAGCATGCATTATTTTTTAAAACATTTTCCCCAACATATTTTACAGAGTCATAAATAAAGCATCCTTAACAAGTTTCTTTCTTGCTTTCTCTTTTACATTCCCCTCCTTTTCCTCTCTTCATGCTGAGCTTCAATCTCCATCTCTCTTGTTTTTCCTCCACAGCCTACATTTTGACTCATTTTGGCTTTTCCTTTTTATGATTTCAGAGACGGCGGGGCTCGGGGGTCTTCTGCGCCAACTGTCTGACCACCAAGACCTCGCTGTGGAGGAAAAATGCCAACGGCGGCTACGTGTGCAACGCGTGTGGCCTCTATCAGAAGCTGCACTCGGTAAGGGGGAAACTAAGAAAACATCAGTGCGAGGCCACCCACAAATGGCAGAAACAGAGTTCAGATGCACACAGAGGTGACAGCGTATAGTTTGATCGCTTCATTTCCGCGCTGTCAGCCCAAGAGCCCGCGGGAAGAGCCCTTTTGGCCTTCCTCAGCCCCGCAGCCAGATAATGGCCCTATGGAAGTAATTTTGCTGCAGCTGGGAGCCCTGCTTCCCACAGTCCCAACAAACACCTGACCTTAAAACCCGACACAGACACAATGGCCACTGGCACAACCTTCAAAACCCAGTCAAGTGGAGACTTTCTTACAAACTTATTCACTTTCATCTACATCCAAACACATGGATGAATTATTATTATTATTATTATTATTATTATTATTATTATTATTATTATTATTATTATTATTTTGAGTGAAACATACTACTACTACTACTACTACTACTACTACTACAACTACTACTAATAATAATAATAATAAGTTTTGTGTTCCAAAAGCCTATTAATTCAGAGAAGTTTGAAAAGAGGATTTTTTTTCAGTGTAACAAGTAGTAATATTAATAATAATAATAATAATAATAATAATAATAATAGCAATAGTAAATAATAATAATAAAAGTATCAATAAAAATAATAATATCCATAATAAATATTAACATTAATAATAATAATAATAATAATATTAATAATAAGAATAATAGTAATAATAATAATAATAATAATTCCAATAATAATATCAATAATAACAATAATGATAATAATTATAATATCAATAATAATAATAATGATAATAATAATAATAATAATAATATCAATAATAATATTAATAATAATAATATCAATAATAATAATAATAATAGCAATAGTAAATAATAATAATAAAAGTATCAATAAAAATAATAATATCCATAAAAAATATTACCATCAATAATAATAATAATAATAATATCAGTGATGATAATAATAATAATATTAATAATAAGAATAATAGTAATAATAATATTATTATTAATAATAATAATAATAATTCCAACAATAATATCAATAATAATAATTTTAATATCAATAATAACAATAATGGTAATAATTATAATATCAATAATAATAATAATAATAACAATAATAACATCAATAATAATAATAATAATAATAATAATAATAATAATATCAATAATAATATCAATAATAATATCAATAATAATAATACTTATAATAATAATAAACTGTCTTCTGTTCCAAAAGCCTATTAACTCAAACAAGTTTTAACAATTTGACAGAAATGTCGTAAAAAAAATTTAAAAACATCTTTACACCACAGTGCAAGGTTTCCCAACTCAGTCCTGGAGGTCTGGTGTCCTGCAGATTTTAGCTCAAACTTGCCCCAACACACCTTTAACGATGTTTCTAGAAAGCCTAGTAAGAGTTTGATTAGCTAGCCCAGGTGTGTCTGTTTGGGGTTGGAGATCAAATCTGCAGGACACCGGACCTCCAGGACCGAGAATGAGAACTCCTGCTATAGTGTGTAACAGTCTGGTTGCAAAAGTAAAAATCCAATCATTTTATTCATAATTAATTTTTAGTAAACCTTCAAAACCTTCTGTGGACTTGGTGCTAACTGATAACACATTTTTGTTGAACCAGTCAGGCTGCATTATTTATTTATTTTTAAACTCCTTCCCCCAGTTCATTTATAAAATCATATAATACTATAAAATTCTTGATGATATTTGATATATTTTCTTTTAGTTCGGCAAAATATGTTGCATATCTGAACATACAATATATTAAAATCTAAAACACCGGACATAATGCGTTTAAACATTCTAGTTTAATTTAGTCTCTTTGCGTAATCTTGAATGTGAATGTTTCATTTAAAAGGTAACATTTTTAAACAAAAGCTGAGAATATTACATTTTTGTCAAAGACTTTAGTCCGAATCAGATTTGTGTTTGGATCCACAAATTGTGTATGACTTCAGTAGATGAGTAACAGCGCCCCCTACCATATGACAGTGAAAACATTGATTGCTAGAAAGTTGGTGCAGGGAAAATTGATGTACTGTGCAATATATAGTGGACAATGCTATTAAAGATAGGGAAAGATTTTAAATAATCATGTTTAATAGCAAAATATTTGGTGATAAATGCATTAACTTTGATTAAATAAATGAATCTCTGCCAGTCATAGAATCACGATAATCACTAGAAATGAAGTATTGTAGTTCCTCCATGAAGCACTGACAAATTATGTGACAGAATCCGAATCATTGCAAAAAGAAAATATATTGCTTCTATACAGAGTCTTTAGCGATACTTCAGGATTGTAGTTCTTTCCTTCATTGAGGTTAGTCTTGTCTGATCTTTCATATACTACTTTATTTCAAAGCAGAGTTTGTAAGGGTGTGATTGTCTGTAGCTGGTTGATTTGGTTAATAGTTTAAGGAAGACTTTAAAATGCCTGGGGTTGCTGAAGAAGTGGATATGCGCTGTTGAACCAATAGATATACACACGTTTGGTTGAACTAGATGATTGCAGAAAAACATTTATTTAAGCACTAATCCGAAAGATTTCTTGATTTTGGACTCGACCACAAAATGACTTTGTTTACATTATGTATACATATATTTACAAATGTTTTTTTGACAACGATGTAGCCAAAAAGGAAAAGATTTGATGTATATTTAAATTCACATCAGATTCACATCTACATGAAATTGTGTTCAAAACAATTTCAGGTCAGTATTTGGCGTTGTCGTCTTGTTAGTAGGCAGCACCTGTAGGGAAGTGACGTTTATGTGTTCTTGCCTTTAATCTACATCTCCCTAAATGCATACTATGAAATCATATTTTTTAGACTTTCGTTTTTTGATGATTTACTATAGAGCCAGATCCGTCTCAATAATAATACATTTACAAAATATAATTCATACATCCACAACACAATTCACATTTACAAAATCCAACTGGTAAATTCAAAACACAATTCGTAAATATGCAAATCAAATGCATACCTTTTTAAAACACAGTTTGTAAATATGCAAATCCAATTCATAAATTCATTAAACACAATTTGTAAATATGCGAATCACATTCGGAAATGTGTAAATATGCAAATCCAATTTGTAAATTCAAAACACAATTCGTAAATATGCAAATTTAATTTGTAAATTTAGAACTCAATTTGTAAATATGCAAATCTAATTGGTAAATTCAAAACACAATTTGTAAATATGTAAATCCAGTTCGTAAATTCAAAACACAATCCTCAAATATGCAAATGCAATTCATAAATTTAAAACACAATTAATAATAAATTTAAAACAATTCGTAAATATGCAAATTCAATTTGTCAATTTAAAACAATTCACAAATATGCAAATCAAATTTGTTAACATATAACACAATTCGTAAATATGCAAATCCAATTCGGAAGTTCAAATTTGTAAATATTTAAATTCAGTTCGTAAATTCAAAACACAATTCGTAAAAATGCAAATCCAATTTGTAAATTCAAAACACAATTTGCAAATATGTAAATCCAATTTGTAAGTTCAAAACACTTCAGAAATATGCAAATCCGATCTGTAAGTTCAAAACACTATTTGTAAATATGCAAATCCAATTGGTACATTTTTAAAACAATTTTTAAATATGCAAATCTAATTGGTAAATTCGAAGCACAATTTGTAAATATACAAATCTAATTCGTAAATTCTAAATACAATATGCAAATATGCAAATCCAATTCGGAAGTTTAAATTTGTACATTTTCAAATTCAGTTCGTAAATTCAAAACACAGTTCATAAATATGCAAATCCAATTTGTAAATTTAAAACACAATTTGAAAATATGCAAATCCAATTCGTAAATTCAAAACACAATTCGTAAATATGCAAATCCAATTTGTAAATTCAAAACACAATTTGCAAATATGCAAATCCAATACGTAAGTTTAAAACACTATTCGGAAATATGCAAATCCAATTCGTGAGTTCAAAACACTTCGTAAATATGCAAATCCAATAGGTACGTTTTTAAAACACAATTCGTAATTATGCTAATTTAATTACTAAATTTGAAACACAGTTTGTTAAAATGCAAATCCAGTTGGTAAATTCAAAACAGGATTCATAAATGCACAAATCTAATTAATTTGGTGAAAATAGTTTTACTTGTGAATTTATGAACAGTGTTTTAATTCACTGGACTTTATAAATGTGTATTCCGCTGTGCATGTGTGAATTTTATTTTGTAAATTATTTTTGAAACTGATCTGACTCCATAATTTACACAGACTCATAAATGGTGGCATTTTCAAAAACCTCAACTTTCAAATCCATTTTCAAATTTATCTATTTTCACAAAGAATATTATGTCATAAACTCACAGGTGAAACATATAAAAAGTTCCCCATATTTGGCTGAAAATGTATAAAGAGCCTCTGAATTTGGTTTGTTTTATAGCCTTGATGTTTTTTGAATTAGCCTTTTCTCTCCAGGTGAATCTGCACCTAAAGATTCAAAAGTGTCCTAGCGTCACTCTGAAACAATGTCTGGATATAAATGAACTCCAGTAATGAAGCCAGAGAAACAGAAGCAGTATTGTGCGCAGGATTGTTGCTGGACTGAACATTGCTTCAGCATTCTAATCTTTGGAGTGGCTTCAGAATTGGGTCAAGTCTGCGAGTGTTTGGCTCTCTCCGTATGCAGTGCTGGGAGCCTGTGGCATTCGGGACCAGCGCCTGGGTGGCACAGGCTAGGATAGAGGGCCAACTGAGTCAGTGTGGTAAAGCAGTCGGGAACCACAGCATCGCCTGCTCCACAAGAGCCTCTTTCAGGGGCCCGTGGCACATGGCGGCTTCAGTCGTGCTCACTTGACCCCACGCAGACACACACATCTCACCGCCTGCGATCAGTGCACGTCTGTGAGTTACTGTGCGCTCCATTTACTGGCCCACATTAAACACTGTCTGGAGTAAATAAGTTGGCTCGTGC